TTTTTTTTTTTTTTTTTTTTTTTTTTGGAACGATTCTTCGGGATTTCAACCGTGAAATCCGTGGGAGTCGAGGCAAAGCGAGGAGAAATAGGAAATAACGTTAAAACGATGCCGCTCTTTAAGGGCATGAGCGTTCGTCGTGATTTCATCGCCGGAAACGAGAGAATCCTCGGCGAAGAAGGCTCGACTCCGTGATACTTTTAACAGGGGACTCGTCCGGATTCTACGAATATGGCATTACGGTACCGTTAATTATAACCGTGTGACTCCATCCCGGGCTTAAAGCGTGCTCTAAAAATAGTAATTCAAGAGTTCTTCTTGGGCGCATCGAATTTCACCGCCATCTTTTTCAGCTTATTCCTTCCTTTTTGTCCTTCCGCTTTTTTTTTTTTACCGTTTCTTGGATACGGTACGAAGAAAAGGGTACGATGAGGAGGGGGGAAAAAAGAAAAAGAATAGAATTCTCTTTCTCTTTTCCCCTTCAGGCAACCCCTTCCCCTCTCCGACCCGAAAAGCGAAGCTGATTCGTCGACGGAATGAATGAAAGAGGATATACGTTATACTCACCGTCGTTCCAAACTTGCTCTCGAGGATATCGTGCGCCGCGCTAAGCATCACCACGTATCCGTAGTTGTTGCACAGGCCGAGTATCCAGAAGGCGGCGAAATTTCTCCATCTCGATCGAACCGCGATCGATTCCTCGTCAAACACGTCGTTCGTTCTTCGTTCAGGCGCGGTCAACGGTTTGCTCTTAGTCATCTTCGTGACCAATGGTATATACTCGTGTCTTCTCTTCCTCTCTACTATCGTCCCGTCCTTTATGTTTCCTACCTCCGTTGTTGAACACCTTGTTTTTATCCCTCGGTTCGACAATAGCTCGCCCTTTTTTCTCTTCTTCTTCTTCTTCTTCTTTCTTTCTTTCCCCGCCACCTGGTCACCCCCTCTCTTTCGATCCTCTTGTCTCTCTCTCTCTCTCTCTCTCCTTTTTCACCCCTCCTTTCTAAATTCTCCACTCGATCTTCCTCCTCTTTCCCTTTAGAGTTTTACTCGATGCGCGTCTCGTACGCCTTCTAAATCTGTTCCAGGTTACGAGTGTAACGAGTGTCCGTCTCTCTTTCTCAAAGATGACGCACCCGAATCGGCTTCTTTCGTTGCAAACCACTCTGTCGTGCTTCTCCTTTTCGAGCGGATCCAGAGCAGAGTGAGAGCAACGAAGCGGCGAACGAAGCAAACCTTCGAGAAACTTCTCTCTTCCTTTTAGGTAGGAGCGTTTTTCCTTTTCACCACGTTCCGCCGATTCGATTTTTAATCTAATTCGCAAAAAATCGTTTTGTAAAGTATTCGTACAATTGTGTTCGAATCGAGGCGAAAAAACTTTAACTCGAAGACGAGAAACGGATATATTTGTTTGTTGAGAGTTACGTAAAAACTCGAGAATTACGTAAAAACTTTTTTCAGCCTTTTTGCTCGAAGGATCGACTCAAGTTCAAAACCAAGGCCTGAGTAATCTAAAGACCGATCGATCGACGAATTCCGCGAGACGGGAATGCAAAATCCTTGGAACGAGGAAAATTAACTAAAATACGTTTTCCTTCTTTGTTTTTAATCGTGACTCATTCTCGTCGATTTGAATCCATAAATCGCGAACTTTGGCTTCGACGAATCTCTCGTAATAATATAAAAACCATGAACCATGAAAAACCCCCTTCCGAAATTCGAATGCGTTTATAATTCCATTCCACTGGAACCGTGACCTATGCGAACACGGTGTATATACGCTCCAGCTGGAGGAACGCCGTGTACCTATCGGGTTTTTGCCGAGAGAGATCCCTACCTCTTCGCGTTCCAGGAGAGTCAGCACCAACGATACCAGTCGCAGCGGTAACCAAGCTTCGAGAAACTTCTTTCTCGCTTTCCTCCCCGCGGTGCGCTTATGGATCCAAGCTTCTTTCTCGGATTCTTGCTTTTGCTTTCCCGCCCGAATTTATTCACGCGAACAAAACGAAGAGATCAGAGTGGTCAGCCGCGTATTTCGAACAATGGAACTCGTCCAAATTTCCCACCTTCTCTTCGTCGCGTGCCTTCCCCACTCTTTCACCTCATCTCTCTGTCTGAAACATCAAACTTGTTGTTATCGCCGTTTGTTGTTGTAATCACGCGCGAGAGCCGCTTAATCTCGAGAAACAAATAACACTTCCCCCTCTCCCTTCCTCCTAGAGTGTAGCTTTATTATATTTTCCTTTTCACGTCGCCTAATTCCCGATGTGGGCGCGCGCGTGTGTGGGCAGATCGATATTTTCTTAGGAAATATATCGGTCGGCGTCACGGTGGCTGGGTCTCCAGCCGAGGAAGCTGTTTAAAAAGAGGAGAATCGAAGCGCGGTGGCGTCAATTAGAACTGCGCATTCGTTGCTCTATTGTTAATTCGATGGATCACGCTTTGCTCGAGCGTTGTTTAAATTGTGGAAATGTCGGAAGAGAAGAGGTGGAAGGAGGGGAAGGCATCCGATCTGTTTCGAGAAAGCGATGATCGAGATTCGCTATCTCAAAGAGTATTATTGATTTTGAAGGTGTTGTGTAAATCATGTACAGAATCGTGGTCGAACGATGACGGCGATTCTTTTTCCTTTCTCGTCTTTTTTTTTTTTTCCTCGTTTCTATTTTTAAGTGGAAAATTACCATCGGTTTACGTGTAAATGATTAATAAGAAAAGAATACAGGAGAATAGAGACGCGAACTTTTCTGCGTTCTAACTTCACTGATTGATTTTCATAAATTGAGGCGTAGAGAAGAGACGCAGCAGAGGAGAGTAGCTAAGGAGAGCAACCGGTGGTAAATGGATGACCTGAACTCGGCAAAACTTGATCTCTAATTGCATTAAAAATTGCCGTCCTTGCGAGCGTTTTCTAGTTCCAGGGATAGGCCAAAGTGGATCTCTCCCCGTCTCTCGGCCCCACGAAGAATTCTTTCCCGCGAAGAATTATTTCGGTCGATGCATCGACCTCGAAACCGTGCATCTTCTCGGTTCATCCTTCTTCCTTCTTTCGGCGGAGGAAACGCGATCGATAGATCGATCGATCAACAATTATTAATTCTGACAATCTATATTGGCTCGTTAACTAATATAGATCGCTTATAAATGGCTGCAACCAAGTTTTTATATTTCGCGCCAATTTTCTTTTATCCGTCAACTCCTCGAATACTACATTATTTTCCATTATTTCATTCATCGTATCGCGATCACGATTTCAAAGATCACAACGAGAAACGAGAAATTGGATCGACAACTTTTTCTTTCCCTACTTGTAAATATAATCTCTTGCCGGTATAATTGCAATGGATCGCTCGAATCGATAGCTAGTAAACATTTCAACTTCAAAGAACGAGATTCCATTGACGTTGTTTCAATAAATATTTGGATAAAGTATTACTATTAATACAATAGATGATTCAAATCGATAGACAATCGAAATTTCATCAACGTTACACGGTATTTCGATAAATATAAGGTATAGATAAAGGATCCACGAAACTTTGAGTTAACGAAGAAAACAACAATTACGAAACTCTTCAATCGAAACGAGGCAAACAATGTACGCGCATTATCATTTATCAGATAATGATCGTCGAAGTTAGAAATTCCCCGGTTCTTATTTCTTGATAAACTCGCTATCGCGTAATCATCGTGTATCGAGTTTTTCTTTTTTTTTTTTTTTTTTTTTTTTTTTTTTCAAAACTTAAAATCCTGTCTCGCGCGTCGCGTCTCCAGTTATTTATTTATTTCATATTCGCGATTAAATTCTCGCCACACGAGATTAACACACTCGCCTCTTATATTCGCGTAGTTATCGCGCGGAACTCGGTTGGAAACAGCTTCCGGCACGAAGTCCGTTTTTCTCGACCACGTTTCTAGGTTCTCCGCCGAGTTACGGGTCCGGAATAATAGTCGTTGCCCCTGGTTTTGCACACACGCTGCTATTGTCGGAAAGTTGGACGACCACGCGATCCGTTTACACGATAGCCGAGTTCAAGCCGAGTTTCGCGGTCATGCTACTTTTTTCAGACAATCAGCGTCGCCTCTCTTTCTGTTATTCCTACGCAATTCTATCATTCTTTCTCTCTCTTTCTCCACGGTGAATGAGCCCTGTTGAAAGACGGCGCTACAACTGTGCGGTGCGGTGACTCATTTCGCGGAAACGAATTTTTAGAATTGATTGGAATATAATACGTATTTTTCACAGGAAAATTTTCAAAATTTTTTCCGGTGAAACAGTGGGAAAAATTTCGAAACGATTCGTGGCTAATCGCCATCGGTATTTCGGACTCGTCGTGTTTCTTTGTGAAGTTGTTGATGAGTCACGGCAATTCATCAAAAGTATTCCTCGAAAAACCTATGTTAAAAGGATCGCGATATGCGATAACTCGAATTCTCGATCTCGACAATGATGATACGTTCCTTCAAACGCGTTCCTTCAGACGTAAACATTCTAAATTAGCAAGCGGTAAAAAGAAACGAAGTTTCGATTGCAAACCGCTGTCACACAACAATTTCTCGAACAGCTGAGATAACGGCTTGACACGCGAATATCGAGTGGTGAAGCGCAAAAAAGCATAGAACGAATATAACGAAAGTGTTGGAAAGCAGCTGCGAATGCTATCGATGGACTGTTTTTTTTTTTTTTTTTGAAAAGAAAAATAAAAAAAAATAATAAAAGAATGATAATACTTACCTACTCGCGACTTATTCGTCCTCGATTAAGAATACGATGACTCTCGTAACAATGGATTACTGGATCGGGGCTGTGAATAAATTTAAGTCTTCGTAAAAGAATAAATATCGTTATCACAAAGCACAGATCACAGAGCTGTAAAATCTGATCCTGACGAATTTTGTATCACAGTGACAAAGTTTGTTCGACTCGTAAGACTCGTAGGATAAAAAAAAACGAGTTCCTTCGTTTCAGCGAAATTTCTTCTTCCTCTTCCTCTAAAGCAAAGCCGAAATGATAGTCGCACACCGCACTGAAACAGAGTCCCCTTAAACTGTCCCTAAAGGAAAAATCGATAAGTTCCGCTCGGGAACGTCCCACGGTTATCGTACAGTAGCTTCTAGAAAAAGAAGTTCGATGCACGAACGATTCCGACGAAGCGTAGTTACTCTGTAAAAAAAAATAATTCGAGATCGCTTCTCGAACCGCGCTCGTCGACCGCGGCAAATTTTCCTCCTCTCTAATTTTCCTTCTTTATTGCTCTTCTCCGCGTCCACGATCGCGCTTTCTATTTTCCTTTCCCTCGCTCCTCTATCTTCTCTTCTCCTATTCAATCCCTTTTTTTTTTTTTTTTTTTTTTTTTGAACCAACGGATTACTTGCGTTCGAGATAAATTATCGAGAAACGAATGTCGAAGCGTTTGTGTATTACTCGCAACGGAGTAGACAGTCCGACTGACTTGAGCCGTAGCAGCTGCGATCGTAGCACGTGGTTGCGCGGCGAGTCTCAGGTTCGAAATAAATAAGCTTGAGGCGAAATCAGCGAGTTATACGAAGCCGACGCATGCGCAAATGGCTCGGTTTGGCTCGGCCGATCGGCAATAAGCATTCCGCTCGCGCACTCTGCCCCCGAACATTCCACCAAACGGACCGAACAGATCAGTCGGCTCGCGACCGTCGAGTCGGCCGATTCTTCTCTTCCCGAGTACTCGACTTTTCTCGCTCCCTTTTCTCATTTCTCATTCTTTTCTATCCGATATATTTCCTTGGATAATTGCCCAACACTGCCCACGCAAATCTTTTTCCAATCGAGATTATAGCATCATCATAGTCTCGAATCAAATAGCTCTCGACCATTAAACCCCGTGATCGGTTTTTGATCGAATTTTATTGCCTAACAGACCGATTCACTCCTTGTTAGACGCTCCTTGTATCATTCGTTGAAAATAGACATACATCCCGCCCACGCCGAACGCACCCTGTTTCCAGCTTGTATTCAACTTTTGTTCATTTATCATTCATGGCCTCCAATTTGATCGTATCGGTGCGTAGTTAACGCGCCTAATGACTATGATAATACCGGTAATGATCGTTCGATCTCGATGTTTCTTTTTCGCGAAACGAATATTACTTTTTACGATGAAACGAGGAAATTAAAAACGAGGGGGAACCGCGAAGAAATCGTGAGAGAATTTCCGGCCGCGAAAATTGGTTCTCGTAAAAATTTTTTTACGCGCAACGTAAAAAAAAAAAAAAGTAAAAAAACGCGAACATCACTGGCAATCATCTTTCTTAATTCCGTTTCACACAGAGCTCAATTACCGGTCCAGTTTCGTGACGGACACGTGCAACTTATTTTCCTACGTGTGTACGTTTTCCGCGGCAAACGAAGGTCAACTCTCGGACACACGCGAAGCAACTGTATCGTAACTACGTTGTCACCAGCTACGTTGTAGCTGGTGTCCTTAACTGGTGAACCGTAACGTGTCAACACCGTCGATTACAACGTTATCCACCATTTCAAAGATATAGTTCTCATAGAAAACTTGAGTACGAATAAAATATCACGCGAATGAGTCACGTCATTTCTTTTTTACTTTTTTCCTCTTCGCATCGATCGCATCCTATCGGCCAACGCATCGATAATCGTCGAGATTATCTTTCAGATTCAATCCTATAACGGGCAACGTAATTCACATACATTATATACATATGATTGAACGATTATGCCTCCAGTTTGACATTGTGCCAGCGTGACCACTCGTCGATGATTGAAACCCCCTTCGAATAGCTGGATCGGCCATTTCGAGATTCCTCGAATATCTCGAAAGGCCGTGGTAATTTCCTACGAGTTCGGCTCTTTATAGTAGTCGAACAATGTCAAACGATATTTAATTCAAAACGGTGTGCTTCCTAGAGAAAACAGTGTCAGGGTTATCCAGAGACCTTCTCCGCATCGCGCATAACAATATTTCGTACATTCCGCGCGGAAATTCATCGAGGATCAAACGAAAACGACCGTCCATGGTCTGTTCTCATCCACTAATGACAAATACATTCCTCGATTTTTTCCTCTCTTTTGTTCTCAAGGAACGAACGAATTCTATTTACCGAATATACTTAAAGGTTATATTTCCAGGTAGCCTCTTTATGTCCCATCTCTGTAATCCTAAAGGATTAGACGGACGGAATCGTGGATGAAAGGAATTTCCTAAGGCGCCATTGTATTTTTAGACAAGGTTGCACGTAGTTTGGTTAAACTTGCACGCTGCACCGCGTTGCCGGAATGAATTTCTTTCAGCGTTCGTTCGAAGCGACGAGAAGTGTTCCCGGCACGGGAAGGCGCTCGTTGCAAAATCGCTCGATTAAGGTCACAGTTGATGAAATATATTAAGCCAATATCTTTTGAAGAAACTAGCTGTCATACGAGAGCAAGCGTTATCAGGGGATAGAAGAGGGCGAGCAGAGTGGAACTATTCGGAATTCCGCGCTCTTCAAAAATAATTTTTAAAATTTTAAAGTTTTAATTACCATCGCAAAATCTCGATTATGCGTCTTAATATTAGATCCATTTAAAGATTGTTCTAGGGAGAGGAGGAGGCGTTGGATCCCTCCTCCTGCGAAACGATTTTCGCGCGCAACGATGGAACGAACGTACAATTTATTTGGACACGCGACGATGGATGATGGCTGAGATGCACGGATATTACATTTGCTCTCCGCCAGAGACGTTATGTAATCCTCGCGAACAACAAACTCTCTAGTTAAGCAAAGTACGACGAGAGCGCTCGTTAACGCGATTCATAACGCATACGAATATGTATTTATCTATTCCACGAGAGGGGAACTATTGTTCACGCTAAGGAGCAACTATTTCTGGCATGGCGTTGCGATAACCTCTCGAACGTTATCGTTGGTAACCACAGTGTACTGTAACTTCGACCTGTAAACGTATACGTAGTACCGTGGAGGATCAGTTGATACGATTGTCATCTAATAAATCGATAATTCCGATTCTTCTAGAAAAATAGTTTTTTTTTTTTTTTTTTTTTTCAACGAATCGAATGATATGAAAAGATCTCTTGATTTTCGTGGAGCGCTTTCGTTCAAGCTTTGTTTTATTTTGTAATAATTAGGAGAATCTGAAATGAGATCATCAACGAGAGGCGAGACTGATCGACGTGATAAAACGATAACCGTTTTTCCGATTGCAATTACTATTTACATTCTTGTCGCCAAGTAGTGGCTCAAGTTATCTCTAAATACTAAATACCGTGCGCTAAATACCAAAGGTCTTCAAAAGTCGATAATAAAGAGGCTCGCTTAGAACATGTATTGCGTACACGCAATCGTTATTAATTGTATATATACATATATATATATATATACAGCAAAATCAATATATTAAAAATTGGGAAAAAATGGATTCCATATCTCATTTAAAATCCATGTGCTGTAAACTCATTAAAAATCTCGTTTCAAGAATGTGCAATATACAAAAAACACCGATTGTACTATTGATGCAATCTTATCTATCGTATCTGCATCTTATCGGGTCAAAAAATGTGCACGATAACTTCTTACCTTTCTTTTTATGCATACATTTTTCCCCTTATCGTATAGATTTTTCGCTGATACGATGTGTAATACGACGAGTAACGAAAAACAAACGATCAATTCACTGGTTGACGCATGAAAATAATCGCCTCCATTGAGCTACTACAAAAGTTCGAAAAGGCCATCTGCAGAAAATAGATTTTGCAACGCAAATCGATTAAAAAAAATAAAGCAAATTTTCGTGAAGGTATATATTAGGTTTAATTCCCGTGCGAAAAATTAAGTATAAAATTATCTAAGTCTCGTGGGAATATGCAAATACGCAATTATGTAAGAATAGCATTAGTCGACTTACATTTCAAATAAATATCAGATCTACATTAATTACATGCGAAAATTCTTCGATAATCGTTTGATGTAATTTTATATACATATATATATTAAAGAAACATAAAACTATTCCTCTTTTATAAAAAGAAAATGAATTAAACATTTCTAATAGTAATTATACGTATTATTTTTATTATCGAAACAGAAATTCCTTTTGGAATTGGAAAATTAATGTAATTATTATTGAGAAGATTTACAATACTATTTTAAAATATTTCTTATAACGTGTTATTATTGCAGTTGGAAATAATAATGATTGTTTTCATCATGGTTATTTTTTTCCATTTGATTGGAAATTGTATAATTGGTTCCAATGAACGGATGCACAAAAGTTATAATTGGAAGAATCTATAAATCTTCGATACGTAATGTTTTTATTCCATTTCAATTACTTCATTTGTTGGAATTTCGTTACGCTTTATAGAAACTTTAATAATATTTGTGAAAATATTTTTCTTTGATGGCGTGTTTGATAAGAATAAAAGAAAAATATTTAAAGAGTAAACACAAAATTGGTTTCATATTTATCAACGTTTATCTTCCGTCATAGTTCAAAATATGATTTCTTTATGTAAAAAATCTTATGAAATATATATTTGTATTTGTACGATAATAAACATTAATTAAATAGAGTTGAATTTGGCGGTTATTCTATTAGTGATACCAACTGCTTAACTCTAAAATATAGTTATAAAATATAGTTTTCACTAGAATATCATGTTTATCAACATGATAGTGACTAAAGCTAACCAAAACGTATAACAACAATAAACAATAAATATTGTATATTAATCAACAATGGGAAAAACATCAAAAGATAAACGAGATATATATTATCGACGAGCAAAAGAAGAAGGATGGAGAGCAAGAAGTGCTTTTAAATTGCTTCAAATAGATAATGAGTGTCATATTTTAGATGGTTCGTATACATGTGTAATAACTTTTATATTGTGAAAATAAAATACAATGCTCTATTTTATGCTTTACAAAAGGAGTAAACAAAGCTGTGGATTTGTGCGCTGCACCCGGTAGTTGGAGTCAAGTTTTATCACGAAGATTAAAGTATGTTTTAATTTATTTGCAAATTCAAATAGAAAACTTTTTGTATTTAAATAATAAATATATTTTTTTTTTCATGGACAGTGAGAATTATAAAAAAGCTTTAGAAACAGGAAATGCAATACCTCCAAAAATAGTTGCAGTTGATTTACAAGCTATGGCACCATTGGAAGGAGTGATTCAAATTCAAGGAGACATTACGAATATTGACACTGCAAAACAAATTATCTCTCATTTTGATAATGAGCAAGCTGATTTAGTAGTTTGCGATGGAGCACCTGATGGTAAATTTAAATTGGAGTAATATTTTTATTCGTGAACATTAATAATATTTAATAATTAATTATTTATAGTGACAGGTTTACATGATATGGATATTTATATCCAATCTCAGTTATTATTAGCAGCTTTGAATATTACTACTCATATACTAAGACAAGGAGGCACATTTGTTGCAAAAATATTTAGAGCTAAAGATGTGACTTTGCTATATGCTCAACTAAAAATATTTTTCCCCTATGTCTATTGTACAAAACCTAGCAGTTCTCGTAACTCTAGTATTGAAGCATTTGTAGTTTGTAAAGATTATTCACCACCAGAAGGTTATAAACCTCATATGATGAATCCTCTCTTAACACATAAGCCATGTGATTTTAATGACCTTACAGGAATTAATAGAGTTATTGTTCCATTTGTTGTTTGTGGTGATCTTAGTCAACCTGATTCTGATACGTGTTATCCATTGGATGTAAGTTATATATTCGTTTTTACCACGTGAAATTAAATATTTATTTATTTATTTATTTATTTTTCATTTATTTCAGTTTGAAGGAAAAGAATACACTTATCACGAACCAGTGCAGACACCGATTTCACCACCTTACAAAGAAGCACTCAGTTTGATGGAAGATAGAGATACTGATTTCAGAAGATACGATGTTAATGTAGTTGTAGATAATCTAAGTTCAATGACTATTGAGGATTTTAAAAAACAAGCGAAGCAAAAACATAAAGAGATAAATGAAAGTAAAAGGATCGAATTGCAAGATAATAAAAAAGATGATAGCGAGGAAGATACATTGGGACTTGACAAGTTAATGTTCACCGAATTATTTGATGAATCTAAAAATAAAGATAATGATAACATGTAAAAATGTTATGATTTTATATTATACATATAATTTAAGTTATAAATGTTTTTAATATATTAATAACAACCTGTATACATATATATGTTTGATTTTCTAAAGATTATTTTTATTCTATATCCTTATAATCCATAGAAACAGTCAATATTTAAGAAATGAAATTCGAATGATTTATTTATTATCAAATTTTTATTTTTCCGTTAATAATATCAATATTAACTAAATTAACTATTCTTATATATATATATATATATATATATATATATATATATATATATATATGTGCAATATTTCAAATAAATATCACGTGGCTACAAACAATTTTTTTCTACATATGCTCGATATTGTGATGACTATGATATACGATTATATGATAGTAAACATTACTGCGTTACAGTTGCGACCTCATCTAATTATGATTCTGACTGAGGTATCTATCCATAGACTTTTCTAGTTATACTTCTCAACATTTCAAGCGACAAATGTACAATCTGTATTTGTTATTATAAAAATTTCATATCGAACAGATAAGCCGAATTTGTTACGTGTGCAAAAAACTATTTTGCTGCGCGCAATGCCGTGAACGTCATGAGGAGAAGAAACACACAAAACGTTATCCAAACTGTCCATTCTGCATGAATCAGAAACTTCCGTTAAAATTCTTCGAGGATAAGGCACTTTTATGTCATATAGTAATAACACATCTACCTCTTCATTGTTGCTTGTGTGGTGAAATTTTCAAGCAGAGTAAGGATTTCGAGTCGTTCGGTAATTATTTTTATTTTTATTTAAAGAATTGATAATTAAATAGACAAGAGTTTTTTTTTTCTTTTTTTTTTTTTTTAATAAATGGATAAGAATAGAATGAGTATAGAGCGAGTAATTGATAATCGAGAGAAAGATATCGAGTATTTAGAATATCGACAACGAATGAGAGAATGATTTAATTCTAAGAATTCATATAGATTTATGATGACACGATGCCTGAACATTTATTTATCTCCAATAAAAATGTATGCTATGTATATGATCCTTTAAGAATGCGGAACGATTTCGAGTGCAAGTAATAATTCTATATGAACATTGATGAATGAACATGAATAATTCTGTATGTCATGAGTCGTTAACGCTTTATTCATCCATTCTATACGTAATATTTTCTAAAGGTCCTTGCAAATGGTGGAAATCTCAACGTCATCATTCGCTAATATCTGGAGAGCAGAAATATATACTGGGGACACCACCTTCAACTTCAGAAGAATCGCCTTTGTTTAATGATAATTGTGGTCCACTGACTTCTCCACCAGAATTTCATAGAAATACTAGCACGCCTATGATTCTCGGACAAAAAGCAAGTTTCGACTTTAAAACGCCCAATGTTCCGAACTTCTCTTTGAAAACACCAGTAACTAATTCTGCATCGTCAAAAAACAGTGAAATTCCTAGCGATTTGCAAGAAAATAATTCGAAGTGCGACAATTCGAGCAATTACGTGACATTTCCTTCTACCACCACTCACGAGGAAACTCCTTTCTATTCCGTGCCATTGAAACACGAAAATAAAGAGGAATTTCCCCATAATAAATCTAAAAATCTGGATAACATGAAAGATAATATCAATCCGACTGAATGTTCCAATAATTGCGAATTAGAAGATATGGAATTAATTAATATTGAAAATGAAATATTACCAGATTTTCAAGGTATGGATAAATATCAAGGGGAGAAACGATCAGATTCTACAAAGAAAGTTCGATTTTCTGATCAATATGAGGACTCATCGGAGCCTAATTCGACAACGGAAAACGAAGAATATTTCGAAGCATGTGAGACGTTGTCGGAGATGAAGGAATCTTTGGAGAAACACAAATCACAGATTAAAATTTATGAGGATAATGCGAAGAATATAGAGAAAGAAAATCATAGTCCGAATAGAATGGATGTAATCGATAATAATGAACAAGCATCCAGTTCCTCGCGAATAGTAATGATGGTAGTAATGGAGAATAATTCTAATATTTCAACTTCTGATATAATTGATTCTAGTTTAAAAAAATTAAAATATATGACTTCAAATTTTACAACCAAAAATCAAAACTCTTCTAGTTGTAATTCAATAACATCCATAGATAGTTATTACAGTGTCTCTAATTCATCGTTGAGTAATTCAAGTAATTCTTCTCAAAAAGATTCGAATATTTCGTCAAATAGCAATTCTGATAGCAGTAATTCTGGTGGAATTTTATCTGTAGTTACTAACGCAGTAAAAAATGTCATGAAAAACTTTTCCAGTATGTATATAACCATATTATTTAAGTATATTTAAAATTACTTCAAATTAAAATTATTATCATTCCATTTTTTTTTTTTTTTACCTTGCAGCTATGGCTTCCTCCAAGACTGTTCCAAGTGAAATCTCTAAAAATGAAGACAGCCCAACATCCTCCACTTCAGATACCTTTGATTTCTTGTCAAATTTTGCGTCATCCTTGTCTCAAAGACCAGGAAAACGATCAAGGGATGCTATAGAAAGTTCACCCACGAAAAAATCAACAGAATTTGTTATTCCTCAGATTGAAATAAGAAGTCCTATCGCAAAACGGCAACGTGGGTGGTATAAAATTAAAGCGCGTGAACCGATTGCAAGAATGAAAAATAATAGACCTCCTCGAAGAGTGTCATTAGAAACTCAAGTTTTCCATCAGGGTTCATTGTCGGTTGGCAATACAGTTTTGCCCCTTCCCGATAGAGCACATCAATCTACGCAAACCGAATAATATATTTAATAATAATTTGAATTTTAACGATTGATCTCGAAATATCATATTTTATTAAAAAACTACGATATATTTTATTATATTGAATTATTGAATTATAAATATATATCTTTGTATAAATAATATTGTTAAAATAATATCTATGGAAATATTTTTTATTTTTTAATTTGAGATATTTTAAAAATTAAATGTTTTAAAAATTATAAAATTTAACTATCTCTTAATAAATCAAATAAAATAAATGATTTGAATTTTTCAGTTCCTGTGGCGCTGCATTACAATCATATCGATCATATATATCGAATCAACGATTGAGGTTATGTTCTGTTAATATTAAAATGTTCATTTTATAACATTAATATAATTTCATTTTAAAAAATATAATATTATTATTAATTTAATTGTGCAGTGTGTTAAGTATATTATTGTTTAATTAAAATTATATTATCATTAAAACTTAATATATATTCGTAAATATATTTTTTTAGTTAATAAAAAGTGAAATTTTGTTTCGATTTATTTAAATATTTCTTTTAATTCTTTTAGTTGTAACAATGTCTTCGTGGAAAAAAGCAGCGAAAGCTACACAAAAAACTCATCGTGAAAGACATCAACCAGAGAATCGTAAGCATTTAGGTCTTTTGGAGAAAAAGAAAGATTATGTTGCTAGAGCTAAAGATTATCAAGAGAAACAACAAACTTTGAAACTTTTACGTAAACGTGCTCTTAATAAAAATCCAGATGAATTTTACTTTCACATGATCAATTCTAAAATACATGGTGGGATTCATAAAGAGAAGCGAAAACATAAAGAGTATACACCAGAACAGATACACTTGATGGAAACACAAGATATTAGATATATTGCTTATAAGAGAAATCTAGAAGCAAAAAAAATAGATAGACTACAAAGTGAATTGCATATGATAGATGCTGCAAATGAGACAAAGAATAAACATATCTTTTTTGTAGATGGCTCAGAGGAAATCAAAAACTTTGATATTGCTAAAAAATTGGATACACATCCAGCATTATTATCTAGACGCACAAACAGACCAAAATTAAGTAGATTAAAAGATATGAAATTACCAGAAATAGATGAAAATAGTTTGAAAAGAATTGAACGTAGTAAACATAAAGCTTATCAGGAATTACAAAAAAGGATAAACAGAGAAAGAGAATTGACTATTATACAACAAAAATTGGAAATAGAAAGAGCACTGAAAGATAAAAAGGTTATGAAACCAAAATTAGTAAAAAAAGGATCAAAAGATTCTGCTCCTGTTTACAAATGGACATATGAGAGAAAACGATAACTATTATTTGCATTTTAGATATGATCTTAATAAATTAAATAAATCTATTTTATAAATTTTTTAATGAATTCTTTGTACATTTTAATTATAATATCATAATCTTCCTTATCAAAAGCAATTTTTATATTTAAACTAATTATTAATTAATTTTTATTTAGAATGATAGACTGTTTGATCTCTTAATAATTATTTATCGATATCCACGACCGTTGTTGATTCATTTCCCGGTACTGTTATCACCTCTACATCTCGTGATGTAGTACTTTTTATCGTCGTTGTTATCATCGTCGTAGTAGTTACTTGACTAGTGGTCATTGCTGATGTCATTCCAGCGCTCATCGTCGTAGACATTCCTGCAGTTCCAGCCGTTGTTGACATCGTTCCATTACTTGGTATTGTAGGCAATTCTGTTGATATGCCAACGCAGTCATAATTTAATTGCCATAATCGTTTCTTAGAGAAAATATCCAATCGAAGACAAGCAGTGATCGATCTTTGATTCAAATTTAAAAAAAATATTTAATAAAAATTATATGACTCGGTTATAAAAGAATTACAGTTAAGTATGCCATACCTGGGAAATTTATTGAGTTCTAATACATTTATGCATACAGATGAGAAGTAACATCCTGGTATATTAGTGCAAAACTTTAATAATTTATAATCTGTGATTGTTCTAGCTCTTAACATGTCGGAATTCAACGTAATATCAATATTCAATCCATTTCTTTGATATGTAAAATTAACGCAAACTGTACAAAGTAAAAAAAAGATTAAAGAAATAGATTAAAACGATAACTTGAAAATAATTGGATTGAAAGAAACGTATCGAAATAATACTTATTAAATGATTAAATACTTACGATTCTTTTCAACTTTGGTATACAAAATAATAACATTTTGACAACAGGAACAAGAATAAGATGTTTCACAGATACAATATTTCTGATAAGTTTGAACCGTTCTATAAGGCAAGAATCCATTAGATATAAGAGATCCTATAATAAATTAACACGTTTAAAAATTATGTGAAATTTAACTTTTATAATTACATGAAACGAGAAACAAGAAGTAACTAACTTTCTTTCGCAACACTGCCCGTCCAATAAAAGAGTAATCGCAACCAGAATGAAATCAGGACACCACATACTCTAGAATTCATTTTTAGTCTTTTCTCAATGGACTTTTTCACTGTAATACATTTGATTCTATAATATAAATATGTTGCTCCTGTCACAGTTATACTAACCAGTATAAACGATTTGTGTTTTATTAAACAATGCTACCTGGGCACGGTGGTTGCTCCGCAGGATGTAATTATTGAGATATAATAGAAAAAAAATAGCTTTTGAATATATCTCTTTATTTGCCTATTTTTCCTAATAACACAATATATCATTATTTTCAATAGTTTAGTACGATATTTTGAATACGATGTAAAATTATATTGAAAAGCTTGACTGCAATAAAAATCTCTTACGTATTACTTTACGTATTACTTAATCAAAACGTCGTATTAAATTCTTATCTATAAGACTAAAATACAATAAATAATATTCGTCATCACGCAATATCAGTAAAAATATGTAATTGTACTATCAAGTCCTTCGCGCTCGTCACGAACAGAATCTTAGGTTTCCTCAAAAATCAAGTAAATCATCGTCGTCGTCGTCGTCATCGTCGTAATCATAATCGTCCTCATCCTCATCATCATCATCTGGCAAGAATTCTATTTGACCTAATCCACCTCCATCCTCTGGCTTTACCAGTGCCAAGCCATTTGCACCGAATCTAATGCAATCTAACCCGACCTGGAAATATATGCATTATTCATAAAAGATGCAGGAAAAGAGAGATTTCCTTTTTCTGTTTTGTACGTCGAATCTATCTTAAACGATATCTTACTTTAAATATCGTGGTATCTCTAAACTTCCCCTCCATGTTCACGCACGTATGAATATTTCTACCTTGGAAATAAATGTTATAAAAACGGACGCATGCTTTGATAAATTGAAATCGTGGCACTGGTACACATATTGGCCGAGGATTCTTCCCTGGAAACACTTGCAAACGTAAGTTTTTGAATGAAAGGAAAGTTTAATAAATCGATATAATTTATGAATGAAGCATACAAGATACGGTTCTCGAGTACAAAACATTGTCATTCATAGAAATTTTTGCCGTGAAGCTAAATTCATCCGGATCGTATGTCACATCCACACACGCCTTCTGTTTCCAAGTGTCGAGTAAAATTCTAGAGCAACAAGCGCAAACACCTCCTCCGCATGTACAGGGACCTTGACTCGTGGCAGTCACTTGGCTGATCGCGTTCGAGGAAGAATTCGTCGCCTGTTTCAACAATTGTTGTAACTTCTTCATGTTCCAATCTTTCTTCGAATACGCGAATTCGTCATTTTTCAAGGATATTTCTGATTTTTTCTCCGAATCGATAATCCTTTTGTCGACCCGTTGAAAAGAGTTTTGAATAGAAAGAACAACGAGGAACAACAACCAATAGGCAGCCCTCATTTCTCGGTAGGTAATACCTTCTTAGGTAGATAGTAACGGTCTTAATCGATCTTAATCACTAAGAGAGGACATCTCTTCGTATGATGTGTAAATAGTATTTCTTGTTGAACGTTCGACACTCGACTGGTCAGTTAACGGATATCTTACTTCGACCTCGTTTTATGGAGAAATTTAGGTTCGCTTGGTATTGGTCACATTTCATTTTCTACTGAATCTCCATGATAATCCGATTAAGGAAATAAAGCGAAAACATCACTGCACGCGTTGACGATTGGTAGGAGCAGATAGAAAACCGATAGTAGGTAGAAAACAAGTTTATTTATTTTTCGTTCGGAATATTAAAATAAATAACAATATATATGGTAATATAGAAGTTTTACTCGAATAATCTTATATTTGGAATAATTCCTTAAATTGATCAATCAACAGTCAACTATGTAATTATATATAGACAATAACTTGATAATTTTTTTGGAATCAAAAGAAAAAAAAACAAAAGAAATCAACGAGGGAGTCTAATTCGCAAATCTTCTATAGTGTTTTTTTTTTCTTTTCTATTTAATGGACATTAATGAACAATTTTTATCTTACAACTCTAATTGTCTAATTTTAACTGTCTCTTGTTCTTTTTTAGGAATCAATGCTGATATATAATTGATATAAACCTCGAGATCTTTCAGATCAAAATCTTCTTCGTCGTAGGTGAATTCGATGACTTCTTGCTTTGTCTGATCAAGTTGTTCAAGCTCCAGTGCGAAATTATCCCAATTAATTCTCTTTGTTTTAATGTTTACGCAATTGAATTGAATTTTTTTAGTTTTGAACAAAATTTCAATTTTTAAGTCGATGCAAAAATGTAGATTATCGTCAGAAATAGAAATATCATGTATTTTAATGCAAAATTTTATAAGATGGATTTTTTTAAAATTAATTTTTATACAGATCTCAGGACTTTTTACTGTAACATATAAGATATTTCTTGTTTCAAAATTCGATTCAAAATAAATATATATGGATATATAGATATTTTTTAGAAAGAAAAATTTGTTAAAAAGAATACTTACAAGATATACTCTTGGAGAAGATCCTATTTTGGTTCATGGTCAATTTTATAAAAATGCTGATATTTTCACGGTCAATACCTGCCGTGACACACACTGGACCCTTTATCCATAAAAACTTGATACCTATGCAGCAACTGTAAGTATAATTTTCATAAAAGCATTTCACACGATATACGGTTGTAGAGATCGATCCATCTTTCTTTAAATCGATCAATTCTTCTTTCAACGGAATTTCAGTTTCCAAATCGTAGACCGTCAACAAATTTTCAATCTTTTCTGCATAAATTTGATCATGAATACAATATAAAATGAAACGAAACAATATTTTAAATTAGTTTAGTCAGTGTTTAATTGAAATAAGTTTGTTGATCTTTATAAAAATAATTAATTACCTATCTGATCGATATCAAAATAATTTTGTTGAGATACATTCGTGTACATAACGATACAAATGGTCTGTATCATTAAAAATTTCAGGAAAACATTGAACAATTTGAACAACATGATTTTAAGAAAGAGGAGGAAAGAAAAAGAAAGGTTCAATAATGTCCAACGATTCAGATCGAAGACTAAAATTAAATTGAGATGATCATCAATAAACTTTTGAAAGAAAGTAATATTGAAGATGTAGCAAGAGTGATTTCTGAAAACATATAAATATAATTATAAGTTTATTTTCAATACATTTACTTACAAGTTCAATAAATTAATTAAATAAATATATATATTATATATATATATATATAAATAAATATATATATATTAAATATATATATATATATCGACTTACAATTAAAAAGTATTACATTATTTGCACAAATTTATATGGCTTATGTTATGCACAATTCCTCTTGACTGACATAATAAATGATTCGTTTTATATTTTTATATGATATTTTATCATAATATTTTATCGTATAAAAAAAAATATATATATTAAAGTTAATAAAAATTAATATTTTATCAGATTTGATGAGATATCTTTTCAACTTTATTTTTATTTCAAATTAGATAAGAAAATTTATCTTAATCATTATTTGAACCATCTTTATACGCTTATAAATAATATATTCGATAAAGAAGAGAAAAATGAAAGGAAGAAGTTATCAGTCTCCATACACGCTTCGTGATATCAACGATAATTCATTGATTTATAGCAAAACGTTCAACAAATGTTAAGTAATTAAACGTTGCTCAAAAAGTCAATAGATCTCTTTTTTCTCTTTTTTTTTTTCTTTTTTTGAAAAAAACATCGTCACACAATAATCTTTAATTATTCTACGACTCTACGATGAGAGTTGAATTTTCAACCATAGGAAATCTCATTTCTTTGCTCTGACGATTATTTCTCGAATTTCTGTTTCTCGCTAGAAGCCCGGTGAGGCCCAATCCGTAATCCGAGTCATCATCGTCCGCTTCGGACGACTGATCGTGTTTCTTCACCTTGCCTTTCTTCTTCCCATCTTCTTTATCATCATAAACCAGCGCGCTGATTACCGCATCCTCTTCCTCGTCATCGTCATCATCCAAATCTTCGAGTTCAGCTTTCTCGTCCTCGTCCTCGTGATTCTCGCTCTCATCGTTCTTCTCATCCTCTTCCTCTTCGCTATTCTTCTCATCCTCGTCCTCGTCGTCGCTCAAAATCTCCTCGTCGTCGTCGTCGTCGTCGTCGTCGTCCAAGCTATCCCCTAGGATATCATCGTCCTCATCCTCTTCGCCGCCCTTCACCGGTTTCCTCAAAGGTTTCCTCTTCTTATTCGCCTCGTTCTCGATCGCGTTGATGCTGGAACTCGTAACGCTCGGCTTCTTCGTACTTATATCCGACACCGTGAATTTCTTCGTCGGTGCCTTATCCGGCTTCGCTATCTTATTCGAGGGCTCCGTCACGGTTGCCTCTTTAATCGTGGTGTCGGTGTCCACGGACTCGTCATCCGCTTCGTTATTAACGCTCTCTTCATCCGCGTTCGGCAATTCTTCCGAGTTGGTGCTCGCGACCACGTTTCCTCCAACGTTGGAATTAGAAACAGACGAAGCCGTCGGCTTGGTTAAAATGGGGATCGTAAATTGGAGAAGAGGCGCGGGCGTGGTTACTTTCGGTCTCTTCGTCGCGGTTTCGTCCTCGCCGGTAATAATATCCAAAAGTGCCCCGAACCCGAGGACATCCTCGTCCTCGTCCTCGTCCTCGTCCTCTTCAGCCGAATCTGAGGAATCTGGGACAGCGTTGGCCAACGGCGTGTCGTCCTCGGAGTCGTCGTCTTCCTCATCCTCGTCCGAGTCCAGGCCGAAGAAATCGTCGTCGTCGTCTTCGTCCGGGACCTCGGTCTCCACTACAGGAAGCGGTTCCGCTGGCCGTAACTTGAGACCGTCAGGCCCAAATCTGTAAAATATATCGCCATCTCGTTTTGTAATTTTCACTACTCTTCTTTCTTTCATCGGAGAAATAATAATCTCGTAATACCTGAAGCAGCTGACGCGTAAACTAGCTTCGAGTTCGGTCGATGATTGCAACTCCAGTCCAAGGCAGGCTTTGAAATGATTCTTGGCATCCCGTTTAATGGAATAAATTCTACCGCAGAATTTCGTAAATCCTCCTGGTAACGGGACGCACACGGGTTTCGGATTTTTTCCTAAAAATCAATCGCACGAAACTTGTTATTCACATCAATGTGGATCTTCTAATCTTCTCGGGAAACGGGTTTCTTTATTCCTTTCTCGATTCGTACGCGCGATACTTTCATCTTTCGGTCTAAATTCGATCGAACGACGTTCATTATGAATATTTTTATCTTTATTTAGAATAATTGATTCGGTTCACAGGGAACAAGTTCAGAGGAGAAATTTGATTTTTCGATATCCGAAGATCGATAAAACGTTATATCTCTAACGATACTAGGAATATTGGGTGAAAGTCGAAACATGTGTTCGATTTATTCGATTTATTCTTCGAAGAATTATTAACATACTTTTCGATCGAATCAATTTTCCGAACGTGATGGAAGCTTTCAAAGAGAGAGAAAAAAATCTGGAATATCCAATTTTGCAACGAATGTTATATATTTTCGGAGATTAAAAAGAAGAAAGAAAGAAAGAAAGGAATCGACGCGATGGTATTTACTTACCATTCACGATGGTGCTGGTTAAGATGTTATCTCCGAAGCTAAGTTGCACCGCCAAATTGTCTCCTTGTATGTATTGCAGAGATGCGCATCCTGGAACGGAATGAAAGGATAATTCCGTGAAACGATTGTTCCCGTTCGAGTCTTTTACGGATACACAGGGAGGATAAGTGTAACGTGACATCCATTCATCGTCTCGTTTCGTCGATTGTTATGCTTTCTAGTGGCCGCGTTCTATTACGTTCAATTAAATTACACAATGCCTACCTGGTCCTTGTAATTGCACCAAAGGTATATGGAAGTCTCTGCAACAATTACATATGTTCTCGTTGCAGGTGCAATATCTGTTCACATCGTCGGTCGCCTGTTTCAACGACAACGTTGATATTCCAAGGTTATCCTCGCTCGCATTTCCGATTGATCTCTCCTCCGTTTTTCCATCGCGTTCTATCGGATTAATTTAATTATAGAAGATTATAGAAGAAAAATAGAGTCCGTTTTCCATTTCTTATATAATTTATAATATCTTAACGATCACGCCACGGCGAAATCGTCGCTTTAATTTTTCAAATCAGTTTCATTCGGCTTTTAAAGAACGAGATGACTCGCTCCAAATTTATCTCTCGTTAACTCCAATCCTTCAATGAAACGTTTCCTTTCCTGGCAACAAGGAAGCCAACAATTTCGAGTGAAATTACGAATTAGAAGAATTGGCGTTAACGATCTTGAAAAAAAGAGAAAAGAAGAAGAAGAAGAAGAATCTTGGAAAATCATTACCGATCACCCTGCCATAAGCGGCGAACGCGACCAGAAGAAGAATCAGCAACAGTTCGACCACCATCGACAGCCGCATCTTCGTTTTCTTTCTGTAACGCACAACGATCGCTTTGACGTCTCTTCTACGAACATTTATATTCCAAATATCCCCTCATACGCGTGTCTATCGCATTGCATTGTTCGCGAAGCGAAACACAATCTTGCGTACTTAACATTCTAACGCTTTCCCCCGCGTTGTTCTACGTTTCAAAGGAAAGAATTTTTACATAAAGAGGCGCATTGACATTCAACCAATCCCCACAACGAACCTATCTTCTTCCATCCATCTTTCATTTCCACGAAACGTAGAAAAATACACCGTTTCCCGTCCGCGATTTAAGATTCTTCATTCCGCCTCGAAAGCGGTTAATCGGTTATGCATACAAAACCGCGAAATTCTCATCATCTCTCTCTCAACTCAACCCAACTCAACGATCGTTCACAAATTGACCCAGACAGTTAAGAGAGCTAACGGAACACCGTTGTCTGTCGTGCAGAGGATCTTAATAACGTCGAAACAATACGACCACGTGCGTCGCTCGCGCTCGATTAATCGTGTTCGCACACGAGGTGAAGGGGTTGTTGATGAGAAGCGCGCTGTTGATTCACGACCGGAAGATTCATTTTCGGCGAGATTCTCGTTACGAGAAGAACGCGAAAGGACGGTTTTATTAGCTCTTGTTTCGGCCGATGGACTCGTCGCGACGACGAGCGCTAACTACTTCTCGTCTCCGCGACCGGTTGACCTAAAATCACGGTCACGGCCAGAGACGACTCTCCAGAGAAGGTTTACCGGTTCGAAGAACGCGCTCCAGGAAGCACGCACGTGCTGCGTCAATCGTCTTTATGCGGTTAACATCGTTGCGCGGTGAGGTCGCGAGGAAACGGTGATCGGGACGCGTAGGTATGTGTTCTACTCGTCGATCTGTTCTTCCCGATCCCATCTTGGCGATCAAGGATCAGTCATATAAGTCTCGACTCTCTTCTAATTTGAAACGATACGCGCGAGATATTAGAGAGAAGAGGATAAAAGTTTTTCGCGATCACCTCGCGAAAGACAGCGCAAACAGCGAGAATAATTAATTGGAGATTTGACACTGACCTGTGCACGATGGAGGCAGGGAAGAAAGCAGAGGAAAATTTGTTGACGATCGATTGTTATCATTAATCGATAATCGAGCGTGTCTCCCTCGCGTCGCACCCTCCGGCTCTTTTTTCCGACTCTTCGCCTTCGACGGAGTCCAATGTCTAACTGAAGATGCCGCCCAACTCCCCCCAAGGTTTCTTTAAAAGTCGGTCAAGCCACCACCACCTGCCTCCGACCGAGCTGCGATTATTAAGCATTCTCTAATACGCTCTAGGTAAATAAGAAGACGATTCCCCACCCGAGTTAAGGGATAGTTCTTCGTCCAACCTCCTCCAACCGCCGCGCCGTTCCAAAAAAGACGAAGATCGAGAGACGGAAGTGGCTTTCCACCTCGCCTTGAACCGATAAAGCCAGAGTCAAGTACACCTATCGACCTTCCGTCCTCCGTCAACGATTTACTCTCGATTCGATCGATGACTCGTTCTGCGCCATCATTCTGGACGCGCGGATCGCGAGAGTTCTCCATCACTGATCGAGATCAGTTTATCGAACGCGTGTATTTACCGCTGCTTAAATTTTATATTCCTCTTTCGTTCGGGATGGTTTGTGTTTCGTTACATACGAACCTCGATCACGGCTCCGTCCTATCATTCGACCCCAAATTTCTATCGCCATAAAGTTACACACGGTGATCATGAGCGCGATCACGGCAGTGCATCGACAATGAGGAAGCCGGAAATTGATTATTCGTTCAACGTGCAACTCCCTTTTACAATGACCACGTTACAATGAAATCTTTTCACCGACCTTCAAACCGGTCGTTGATCTCTCTATGCGCATAATCAGGACGTATCGATTAATTTATTCACGTGCAAGTTTACGCGTGAGATATATATCGTTCTCGAATACATATATTTCGGTTGGAATCGAGGAGGAATGGAGCCGTGATATTTTTCAATTATCAGCGAAACGAACACGCGATGACAAACATTCGTTGGTAGGATGATATGTAATGATCAGGCGCAAGCGTGTTTTGGCGTTGTTTCGGAGATGGGGCCTTTCTCCGGTTAGTGGGTCGAAGAAAGTAGTGGTCAGGAGTGGTTTACCTTGGTTAATACTTGTCCAACGAAGCGAAGGTATCACAATGGAATTCGGAGTGTCGAGGTATCGGAGGAAGGTTGGATAATTATTGTCCGGGGATGCACACCGGCCGACTCTCGCCTCGGTGTATTTTAAGATAACGCGCGCCTGGTCCTCCGGCCTTCTAAACGGGAGAGATGAACGACGAGAGAGATGTGGGTCATCAAGGGAAACGAGTTTTTACGTAACGTCACAGGATAATCTGCTCGAATCTGCCGGGCCCTTGCCTCGAAATCGTAATATCCCAATTGGGAGGGGAGGGGAAGCCAATTGGTAAACAAAGAAGGAAATTCTCGTCCATCTTTTCTTTCGAGTTGTTCTTTCGAGACGTAAAAAAAAAAAATAACGATCTAGGCAAATTATATAATATTTCCGAGATACGTACAAAGGATATTGCAATTGTCGCAAAGTAATAGAAGTTTCGCGAAGTGTCGAAGCGGAACGACGATGACTCCTTGGTTGTTGTGGTCAACCAAGCGTACGCTTTTCCTTCCCCTTTCGTTTAATGTCTTTTTTATTTATTAGGCACGATCGATCAGAGAAAGCCGGAAAACGTGCTTGGATCGAAGAGATAACCGAATGAAAATATACAACTAACAGCCAGTAGAGATTCATCTGCGAGAAGACGTTCCTCTCGTATCCACGCTATTATTACGTTCGTTGCGATCCAGGTTACAAGGACAGGGAGAGAAAAGACGCTATATCCAGATCTTCTTCCATAAGAATCTGTCAAAAAATCAAGATTTATCGAAACAACGTGTGTCCACGACCATTTCCATTTTTCATTCTCTATTGAATATATCGACGAGAATTCCCCCTCCCCTCCCCCATGAAAAGGAATCGTAAACTGCGCTAAGATAAAAATTCTGAAAGACAAAAAAAAGAGGAGGAAGAAGAGGAAGAAAAAAAAGATTTTGTCTTTGCATTATTGCGTGATCTAAACGGTATATCGTGGCTATTGAAAAAGAAGAGCACCGATTTTTTGTCGGAGGGGGGAGGGGGCCCTCCGATGGCCGGAGCAGAGGATCGGTAGATAGGACAGTCGCATAAGTTCTCCTGGTACCAGGTTGCCAAAGGAGGTCACCCGGTCACCCAGATGAGGTTCTTTGCCCGTTGTTACCTCCGCACCTCGGCCAATGGCGTGGCACCTCATCGTCGCCGTGGCCAATCCTGTCGCCAGTTTTCGTGCCGACCGCCAGCCGATCACCGATCCAAGACCCGCGCCCGGCTTTGTGCCCAGATTTAAGCTTCTTCCTTGCTGGGCAGGATCTCCTCTTCGAAGCGCGTGAATCCTTTTTCCACGGAGTTTCTTCCGAACTTTTCGCTCGTTACGTACGCCCTCCCGCGCTTATCGTAAACCGTATCGCGAGCGACACCGAACGCGAGGAGCTCGAGGAGTTCGAGTAATCTGCATCGGAAGAGAAACCATCGGGGACAACCGTGATGGCCGTCAGGTTCACGATCCTGGTGCTCTTGACCACCGTCGTCGTCGTAGTTTCTTCCGCCGGACTGCTCGGTGAGCAATGGATCACGCACAGTTACGCTCTCGTGTCAACGCTGTTTCTCTTCGATTTTTCTTTTTTTTTTCTTTTCGGTAGCTATTGCTACCCGAACAAATACTAGGGAGGAAGGATATTCGTGGACCGAGTACCGCTCGGCCAAAGTGTTCGATTCGTGACGCGATGGAATAAACAAAGTTTCAACGTTTCGCATATCAATCGAGGCCTTGTTCCGCCGAGGATATCCCTTTCGGGGATGACTCGATTCGAACGTTTTATTTCGAACGTGATGTCGCGTACGTGTCTCGTGATTTTAATTAATATACGTATGAACAACCGTTTGAATAATTTTTTAAAGTTTAACGAACGAGTTGCAGAGACTCGTGAGTCGTTGTTGCACACACACATATAGAGACACAGAGACACACACTTGTCCCAGTAACGCGAGAAAGTTGGCGGATAGGCATCTTTTCGACTCATCAACGCGGCACACTTAAAAACGGTACGCGTATTTTGTTTACCGTTTCGAGAGAAGAACGGGCAAGCTTTTCGATACGGAGAGGAATGGAAGTGGCGGAGTGGAAGTCGAAACGGTGTCAAACAAGCGTGGAGAGAAAACAAGCGTCTCGGGCATCGAACTTACGCGATGGAATTCGCGAACGATATATATTTCTCACCTCACGATTTTCGTTTCGACGACTTTCGTTTCGTTCCAATTTCTCTTCAACATCTTCTACGACCATCTATCCCTTTTTTACATTATATTTTTCCAACGTCAACAGAGACGTTGCTCTCCTGGGATTTTCCAGACGCCGTGGGCAGATCGACCAATCCCCAATCGCAATGCCTCTGCCAAACGTCCAATTGCTTGTGCTGCATCGATCTGAATCTGACCGCGACCTTCGACCTAGGTGGACCGGCGTGCATCAACGTCAGGCAAAAGGAGCAGAACGTCTCGTTGAACCTAAGCTACGGCGACAATCCCGTGCACAACGCCACGATTAAGATCGGTGAGACAGATTTTTTTTCCAAAGTACGTCTATAATCGTTACATTAAACGTTACATTAAACGTTTGAACGTTTTAATTCCACGTGGATACAGTGGACGCGGCCAACAGATCGACTTGCATGAACCTTCTCTCGGACTTGGCGCAGATATGCGCGAAATTTACGTGGATCAAGCAGGCGGAAGCGGGTCACGACGGTTGTTTGGTGATCGAGCCAGCTCTGTTGGGAACACCGCAGGCCACTTACCAGATGGGATGCTTCAATTTCAATCAGGTGGTGCGCCAAATCGAGCCACCTCCGTGAGTACGATCCACGAAAAGTTGTGTTTATCATGATGTCACGTCTCGATCATTAATCTATTCACCTTCGATTCCTCTTCGTCGTGCACCACGTATATTATTCCCGCAGCGCCATCGAGACGACGGAAGGGAGCGAGAGCGCGGAGGAGGAGGAAGACTCGTTGAACACGGAGGAATTCATAGCGGCTGTGTCGGCGAGCGCTGAGCAAGGCATAGCGCTGTTCTCCCAATGGCTGGGCCTCAATCTGAACCCGAAATTGAACGCGACGAGCGGGAAGAACAGCGGCCAACAGGAGGCGAACGGGCAACGTTCCATCCCGTCCACCACTTCGAGGTCCGCCCGAGCTCAGTGGGATCAGGAGGAGAAGAACGACGAGCGGTTCAAGCAATTGTTAAGCGCTCAGGATAACGTGTTGAGGGGTTCGGCGACGATCGGCCAATCGGCCGAAACGACGTTCGTTTATTCGAGACCCCCCGGCTTGTACTCGTCGGATAAGAGTTCGGACGAGAGAAGGGTCGATCGAATGAAAATCGAGCCCCAACACCTGGCCGTGGTGCCGAAAGAGTCGAGGAGAGGTGGAAGGGCGTACAATATTCATCAGCACGTAAACGAGATATAAACTCGGTCGGTTCGTTTTCCATTTTCGGCTCGATCGATCGATCGATCGATCGATCCAGGGGGGGATTAATTAGAAAGTAGATATATACATAGGATTTATCTATACATAATAGATCGTATTCTTACGGCGAGTTAAGGCAGAATTATTATCGTCCCCTATTTATTTTTCTTCGTGTTTTTACTTTTCATTCTGCTTCTACTTAGTTCTAAATTCGACTAATCGACGGACATCGAGGAACGACTATGTCTATATCTTAATCTAAGTAATTGGACATCGTTCGTTCTTTTCGAGGATGTTGATCCAATTTGATCAACTCCGTTTGAATGATCTCTCGTAATTGTGATTGCTTCTTCTTCTTCTTCTTCTTCTACTTCTTCTTCTTTTTCTTCTTCTTCTCTCTCTCTCTTTTTTTGTAAAATTTATTTTACATTATTATTATTATTATTGGTACTCAATCGATATTCGAGATACACGAGAGGAATAAATGGAATAAATCTAAATAAATGGAACAAATTTGTATCCTTCGTGGCGAATAGACGGGTATATTTATTTAGGGTATATTCTTTTGAAGAGAATGCAATTATTTTCGCGGAAAATACACGTTTCCATTATGCGATAATTGTTTATTTGTTTTTCGATCCCGTATAGCAAGTAGAAAATACAGTAATAATCTTCATGTAATTTAAATCCATACGAATACATCGAATTACACATTTATGATGAAACACGTATCATCGAGCGATAAGCGATTTATTTCTTTTCTTCTTCTTCTTCTTCTTCTTCTTCTTCTTCTTCTTCGTAAAAAAAAAAATACAACACATATAATACGCGTACAACACAAGTATATAAATAAATATTCGTGTTACATAATTGATTGATTGATCATAGGAAAATCTTTGCAAAATATCGAACAGAATGAATTCGAACGATCGATACGATCTTTCAATGTAGAATATAGATAAGAGAATCGCTCGCGGGAATTAAGCGTGGTTCGATCGTTGATATAACAAATAATATAATAGAAATTATCAATTACTGATAAATATTTCTTTTTTTTAATAATCGTTCAATTTTTTTAATTATTATTCTTTTGTAATACCGTTGACACGGAGATGGTCAATAAAACTAAAGAGAAACAGTTCGATATATTCGTTCATCCTGTTCCCACGTTTTCTCCGATCGATTTCGATAGATTTTCGATAGATTAACGAATAAACGCGATAAAACGTGATTCGTCGGAAAGGCGAGGAAGAAAATTTGTTACCAACGATACTTGTTTGTGATATTTACATCTGCGCTCAAAGCGGATTTTTTATATGGAAAAAAGAAAAAAAAAAGAAAAAAAAAAAAGAGGAAGAAAGTANGATAGTAAAAAAAAAAAAAAAAAAAAAAAAGGAACATCTCCACTCGATTCGATATCATCATGGAATATATTGTCGAGAAGTAACATCATTTGACAAGCGATACTTGGAACTCCAATTTATTGATCGCTCGCATTGGCTTCGTTACACCTCGAAAAATCGATACAAGAAATATATAATCGTATGTATATCACCATATAGATATATATATGCGTATATATATATATTTTTTTTTCTCGTTTATTTTCCCGATATCTATATAAAATAAAAGAAACGAATAAAAAAAAAGAAAGATAAAAAATTGAGAAATATTCCTGTTGAGAAAAACGAAATATTACAGATGGACTAGATACTAATAACAATTTTATTTTCGCCTTAAAATAAACGCGTCTCGTTCGATCCGTCAAAATATATATATATATATTTTTATATATATATATAATATATAATTCTATAGATATGCGTTTCTATACGTTTTTTTTATACGTTCTCGTTCATCTCGTAGTAAAAATATTTTTTGGGCTTCATCTTTGGGCGATCATCGTTATCTCTATGCAAAGGTAGTTAAAAAAATAATTCGATCCTTGCTCGAACGTGACAACGTGAAAAGTTGGAGAAATCCTGTTTTAACGCGCGTTCCTTCGGGCAATTTCAGAAATTGCAGCATTCCGATGCGTCTAGACATCTGTCCTCCTTTTTTCTCATTTATCGATTTCTCGATAAATCAACTCGCGCCCGATGTTTTAAACGGATTTCAAGATTTCTCGCGTGACGATGTCTCGCAATTTATACAAAAATAAATCGTAGTCTGATAGCTATTTAAAGTAAGCCGGAAGACTTCGATTCTTCCCCAGTTCGCGCAGCTTCGATTCAACGATTCGAGAATGTTTTCTTTCTTTTTCTTTTTTTTTTTTTTCTTTTTTTTTTCTTTTTCTTTTCAAAATAAACATCATCCGACGCCGAAATTTCGTTAAAAATACATCCTCTTCGTAAAAAGTTGGATACGAGAAAAGATTACAAAAGCTAGAACAGCTTGATTAAATATTTCGATCGTTATTGAGAGTCGAGTAAAAATTTATATCGATAGACATAATATATCGGTATATATTATCATATCGTTTTTTCAATTCGATATTTTCCATAGCACTCTTTGGCTATTTTGCTTGGAAGGCAGCAGATCTCCACCTCTTCGATTCGAACGATATCGATCTTCGCCGAAGGAGAGAAAAATTTTCTCTCGAGAATTCAAACGTTCAAAACTTTCGCCGACACTTTCGTGGGAAGCAATCGTTTCTCTAAATATCTCGACAACCTCGATTACATTCTCCGTTCTTTTACAATTCACCGCGAACAAATTATTTCGTCGCGTTGGACTCGAGCACGCGACGAATTGCCGTTGAAATTCACATTGTTTCGAAACAACGTATCCTTAAAGAGAGAAGGATGTCTAAAATACAATTCGAAATAGAATACGAAAATATCCGATTGTTAAAAAGCAACGTTATCCCGAACACATATTGAAACGCACGTGCGAAAATGGTAAAAAAAAAAATTGAAATCGATTCGTTGTTGCGCCGATAAATAAACGCAGACCCAGCCCAGTTTGTTATTGCGAACGAAAATAAGGGTTGTGATGTGCGGGAAAGGATCTGCGCGGAATACGATCCTTTTAAAACTTGATTTTCGCGCGGAACAACGCGACAGAAGGAGATTCATTTCAACGATTCATTTGACTTGATGGCGAGGCGGTGGTCCGGCAGGTGGTAACGTGAGAGAGTCCCTTTTCTTCCTGTTGACGCGACGTCCGACGTGCAGAACCACGTCCCCAGCTTTCACGGACTTGAACTCGGCGATCGCCTCGGCGTGCGTCATACCGTGAAGAGGTTTCGAATTTATCGACAAAATTTCGTCCCCTGGAATAAATATTCCATCAACGATGAGTTTCAACGAAAGCGGATGGAATGAATGAGAGGATGTTTTTTTTTTTAAGATGACGTCGCACACCTTCCTTGACGGTTCCAAGATCCGCGGCCTGCCCATTGGGGAAGACCGTTTTCACGTAAATGCCCATGTTCCCTCGAGGACTGTCCGTACCGCCGACGATACTGAAACCGAGTCCTTTGTGTCCAGGACCCTTTAGAAATCTAGCCGTCAGTATCGTGAATGACGCGCCACCCTTGCCTGGCCTCGGTAGGGTGCAGAATCTCGACTCTTCACCCTCGCCAGCTTCGTCGATGTCTTCGAGTTCGGAGTCGGTATTCAGGCCTTCGTCCGTGTCTTGTGTACCCTTGAAATAGAAAAAAATAGAGAGAAATGGAGGTAGAAAGAGATGGATCCTTTTGTTTTCCCCCACTCACTTGCCAAGTCTTCAAACTGGAACCGGAGGAGCTAGGAATATTGGCAACGCTTCTGCTGTTCATTCGTCTGGTCGTCTTCTTGCCGGGGCTCCTTTCCGCCCCCAAACTGGACGGGCCGTCCTCTTTGTTCACGCACGGTGATCCAGGCCCAGAATTGGAATAATTATTCACTTGTCCACCGACTTTGAAATCGGTCATCCTCTTTCTTGGCGTCACCCTCGGTATGTGAATCTCCTCGAACGAGGCGTCGGTTTGACTTCTGGGCTTCGCGTTCTTCTGGAAATGGACGTTCTCGTACGAGTGATGGTCCCTCGTTTCCGAGTTGCTTCTCGCCAAGTGTCTGTCGGAATGGGGTGTGGCCGAGGGCGTCAACTCCGACCTGTGACCTCGTTGAAAACGCACGTTCTCGTACGAGTGTTCCTGGTGTCTGCACGAGCCGTCGCGATTCTCCGAGTTGCTTCGTTGCAACACGGCCCTGGATCTTGGGCAACACCCGGGGGACGAATCGGCGTACAACACGTTCTCGTACGCGTCCTTCTGGCTTTGATCGTGGCAAAGAATCGGCGAGTCGTACGCGCTACCGCTTTGAGAATACGTGAACGTCTTACTGGCGTTGGTCAACGGGCTGCTGCAATTGGGTGAATTCGGCACGCTTCCCTCCGCCAGCGTTTCGAGATTGTCGTGGAAAGGGTAGGGTGGAAGAGAGGTCGGCTCGCTGGAATCGTAGCCGTCTCCGTCGAAGTTCTGACTGCTCGACGAGGTCAGGGGGCTTGGAACGTAGAAATTGGACGCGTTGTCCTTTTGCGAGAACACCTCCGTGACGCTCAGAGCTTTCCTCTTCCGAATACCGGCGTTTATCTTGCTGAACTTGCTTCGTAGAACGTGCTGGATGTCAGCTATACCCTTGGTGGTACCTAGGCGATAGCAACGTTCGATCATCGTTCGATGATATCGTCGAATTATCGAGATTTTATTTGCGACGGGGAGAAAAAGGAAAGGTAAATTACCTGGTAATCTGAGGGAACTAGTTTGCAACAATTTCTTGGGCGAACTGCCGTCCTGAAGGCTCTTTGCGGCAGGCGAGGACTCCCTGCTAGCCGGGCTGGACCTTACGGGTTGAATAACCCCCTGGGTCGTTCCACCTTGTATCAGAGCCTCCTGTGGTTCCGAGCTCTCCTGGACGGAGCATCTCCTCCTCAGTTTCCTCCATCGTTGACTGATGCTCTTGTTCCATAAATTCAGGTCTGTAATGCAAGAGCGAAAAAAAAATTCCGCATGACTACCGGTCGCAGGACGAGCCGCTATCTCGTGACGGGAGGCGAGTACATCGAGGAGCTCGTTAAGGAAACAGGATGGTCCAAAATTGGCCTCGAAAAAAAGAGAGGGAAGATACTGTTCCTTAATCATCGGAAGGCTTAACGACAGGAAGCACTTATCTGTTGAACGAGCGATATAGCGTACGATAATATTGTTATTTGTCGAAGATAAAATTGGATCTCGATCGGGAAAGGATCGGAAAGAAGATGGAGGAAAATTAGATATTAGACAATAACGATTCGTTAATAATAATAATAATTCGAAATCCGGATGAAACGGCGATTTGATTTTCGACGCGCTTCTCTCTTTTTTTGTTCAAAAGTTCAAAACCGAAAAACGACGACGAAGAGCGAGACGTACGTTTTTCATAAAACTAGCAACTTATTCGATCATTACAATTCAATATAGTCTCCATGTTGTCGGATCCACGTGACCACAAAGGACGATCGACGTTTGAATCCTGTCCCTTTCACCGATTCCACGAAGGGTCATGCCCCTCTCGACTTCCTCTTCCTTCTCGCGGGCTGGCAGCAGTAGTTTGGCCGACCTTGGGGAAGAAGGCACGCGCATAACAAAACTCGTCGTTTTCCTCACCGGCGGAAGAAAGTTTAAACGTCATGAATAATTGATCGTTGATCGATGACAGGCATGGTCGTAGGGTCACTGAGCTTCGGACGTAACACGACTAATCAGGTATGCAATTGCGCGTTCGTCGCCTGGTTTCGGGACACGGGCCATGGTGGCGACGTGTCACGAGGACAACAACACCGATAACAACCACGATGAGGATGGGAACGAAGGGAACGAAGAACTGACGTGCACGCCGTTGTCCTCGGCGGTCGTTGCTGACACACTGGGGCGTCGGTGGCGGCTGCACTCGCCATTATCCGGAGTTACAGTCATCTTACAAAATGCACTTTCACTTGTCGACGTATCTGCGGATGCGCCCGGTTTCGCGAGGCCTTTTTCGTTCCGCACCGAACGCCGGACGTTGCGCTTCGTTTTCCATAGATTGCAAACAGTTTTAACCCTTTCGTTCGCGTGGCGAAAAAAGAGAATGAATAATAAATAAAAAATCCACGGCCGTGTATCGTGTATCGTATATCGTTTTCGTTATATCGACCTTTCCCGATATTCGCGCGGAATGCACGCGTCCAGAGCCGATGATGCGCAATTAGAGACGATCCAGCGCGTTGATCGATGAAGATTCCCTCGATGTTTCATATTTTATGTCCGATTTATCCTGCTCGTTTTATCGCGTTGCAACGTACGAAGTGAGTAACGTACGATTTATGGAATACGAGTCTCTCTCTCTCTCTCTCTCTCTGTCTACATTTCACTCCCATAACGAGAATCGACGTTCATTACCGGATTCGTTGTTGCGAAATGATATCCACTATCGGATGGACGCGTGATCGATTATTTTAACGCTTCTGTCGGCAGCGTTAATTAAAATTTGCCAGCATTGGCGAGCTTCATGCAAATCAGTATCGATTGCATCGAAAACTGGGATACCACCTTGAGCAGGTCAGCCGAAAACGAAAATCAAGGACGAATATTTCGCGATCGTCGAACGATGACAACGTTGCCCGATCCATCGATAAAAATCAATAAGAGTAAGTTTTTTCATTGCGCGGATCTCATCGCGCGTCCCTCTTCCCCCGTTCCGTTTATTACGTTTTCACCTACGGTTTTCACAATATAAACTTGGACAGCTTGTAATCCTCCGGATGTACGAGCATTTGCAACTCTAATCGAAGCAGCTCGGCGTAGAAATAAAAAAACCCAAGGATGTACGCCAACATGCTATCAAGATGTCGGTGATACGAAGATGGGTCGGTGCGATACGAATTGCAGAAGAGGATTCGAGGCGGAAACGCGAAAACTCGAGCGCGACCGATGCCTCGAACGACGACGCTTCTACCAGGATTTCGAAAACCACAGGAGTCCACACTGTACGCGGTCTCGACATGAACTGAAAGACTGGAGGTTTACGGTTACTTGGTGTGCGTAAAGCATTACGTGCGTGTGCGTAACAGACTGTACACACGTGTGCAGCTTGGTACCTGTGCATACAAGGTGACGCGGAAGAAAGTATCGAACTCGTTGACCGTCCTTTCGACCGTCCATTCGTGATACGAATTCCTCGCATAACCTCGGGATGACCCGATTCTTTTTTCTTTTTTTCCCTTGATATCGCGATACCGATTATCGACGGATTTGCAAAATGCGGAGAGTTCGCGCGTGAAATCGAAAAAAATTACGGAAGAACGGAGTGTTACGTTTAAAGAAAGAATATTCTTTTCAAAGGACGATGAAAAGTTTTCCCCAACATCCTCATTTCCTAGCGTACACATTGTACAAGACAAGTAACAAAGTGAACGCTCAACGACCGAAACCCGCCGGTTATTATTCCATCTTATTTCACATTTCACGCATTCTCGTTCCACTTTTAATCCCGCTCGTTTCCTCCACTCGCGCGATCCATTTAATTAAAGCTTCCACGGGGAAATATCATTTTCCTTTTTTTTTTTTTTTTTTTTTTTTTTTCCCGTTCACCGTGTATACCACTCATTCCGTAGTCCAATTGTGTACCGATTGTGGGAACCTTTCGCCGAGTGTTAGTGAACGTTCCTCTCTTCTCTTAGGAGCACGCTTTGCACGCTTTGCGCGAGAGTGTGCGAGCACGAGGGTAAGGCACGCTGTACGTAACGTACGCGTGTATATACACCTATTAATGTGCATCACGGGTGCGTGCACACCCCACATTCAAACTCGTGCGCCTCATGGTCAGGGTGGCTTGCATTATTTCCTACAATAATGCGTGTTCTTTGCGCGATGGTTTGCACGAAGGTGGACACGCGCGAGACCGAGAAACGACTGTCCAACGACGCGCAGAGTTCAATAATCCATCGTGCGAACACTTACCGAGATTTCGTTCTACGAAATTGTTTTTCTTGTACGCGCCGTTTTCTTCCGAGGAAAACGCCGATTTCGCACGTTTGCGCGATCAACTTGTGCATGTCGTCGTGAGGCGATGCAGCGGCGACTTAGGCGATCGGTGAACGCTCGACTTTCAAGGCTTCCTCGACTCGCAGGTTTGCAAGGACAGGAAATTACGTTAAAACGACGATGAACGGTATGGTATCCATTATACCTCGTCTTGGCCTACATACCATTCGGTTACCTTTCCACCCACGAAACGTGGTAAGGTAGGTGGGTAAAACGCGATAAACTGGGTGAAAAATGAGCTACGACATGGAACGAAATTAATTCCAGTTGTAATGAATGATACTTGCGTTTTTTTTTTTTTAAAGAAAATTAAAATGAAAGAATTTAATGATTATTATTATTTTTTTTTTTTTTTTTTTGTAATGCTAGTGAGATCAGCAGTTTCGTTCTTCCGAATGTTGTTGTATTGTGAATGGATAATAAAGACCGCGAAATCGCGATACGAGGACATTTCTTACCGAGCTTTCGTAACGGATACATCGTTATGAAATTCTTTCGGGTGGTGTGAATAGAATGAATGAGAACTGTTTGTTAGCACTCTTGCATCACTTTAATATTCACACTGTTTATCTTCTATTGGCCTATAAAATTTGACAGAGAGAGATAAGAAATCTGATGGAGTGAAATACGATTTTTATGATCATTCGTAGAAATTATATATTACATCAATTGAAATATTCACCTCATTTCTATTCTTGATAACAATATCCTTTACATCATTCGATATACTTTTAATAATTACTGCTTTGAACGGATATAATGCTTGAACGTATTAAACACGTGCTCGACCATGCATAGTTACCTATTTCAAGTTCCACTTATAAGAAACGTCAACGTTATGCGTGAGATCAAGTTGAGTGAATATTTCTCCTATTGCTCATTGTGCTCTCGGTGCTCTCGTCGGTTTATCGCTAGTTTCGAGTGGTCGCATAAAGAAGATATTTTTCTTACTTTTTCATGCATAAGTTACATAAAAGAACGGAATATGCAATAAATTCTAAAAAAAAAAAAAAATAAGTCTGGAAATGAATCGACAATATGTAAATATAATTAGCATTTCATATCGTTCCATTTAATTTTTCTCTGTCCGATGCGGTAAAACTCCTCTGACCGATATTTTCATATTGGTTGAACAATTACATAAAAAATAACTAGTTACGTTCATTCTGCGTTTTATACGATTGACATAAATAAAAAAAACTTACATATTACTTTATCTTCGTATATCTATTTCAATCTATAAATCATTAAAACATTTGCAAAAAAAGCTTTATCTAAGAAGTGCAATATTTTACAACTAAATAACATCTTATATAGAATAATACAATAGATCTTATCAATTACATAAATTTATATATACTTAATAAAATTCCAATCAAATATTTCTTCCAAGTATCCCATTGAACGTTGATTAGATTCTGTCAAAACGATTATGCGAAAAGATTGACGCAAACATTCTTTCGATAGACATCAACAAAGAACGGAGTGGCTCGAAGAAGTTTATTCAAAGAAATGGACGTGCGGCGAAAGAGAGAAGAGGAAAGGGTAAGAAGATAGAAAGGGAAAGAAAGAAAGACGGGTATTAGCGAAGAGAGATGCAGGAAAACGTAAAGATAGACGGAGAGAGAGAGGAGAGAGTGGAACGTGGCAAGACAGAGAGAAAAGGGGCTCGTAGGTAATATACACACAGTCGCAGTTGGGAACGCGTAGCCTAGTGCCTGTGAGGAATGCGTAAACGGTAGAACCGTTTTGTGAACGAAGATGGAGAGAGAGAGAGAGAGAGAGAGAGAAAATGCGGCTTGACTGCGCTCGAGAGATAGGGAACCGATAAAAAAAAATATCGAACGTTTCGTCATCGGTTAAACGATTTTTGATAAAAATCGCGAATACCTCCGTATCCTCGTTACTTTCGTAA